TTTATTTATAAAGTCAATAATTAAATTAGATATACTTTTTATTAATTATTGGCTTGTGCGTACATAGTTTATGTCGCAGCAGCAACCTCCGATGGATGCTGCGGCATCTACACAATGCGACGTCCCATTGCCTGCTAAGAGAGAGGATGGCACCATGCCCGACCTGCCTGCGAAGCGATTGACCAAGAAATCATGGTGGATCTCCTCTCCTTGGACCGCATTTGTAAAGGGCAAAAAGAAGGAGAAGAAGGTCGTTGACGAAGAGGCAGGCGTCGCACAGTTGTATGACTCCGGTCGGTTAACCTCGGTTAGGTTAACGACACTCCAGTATATGGACGCTGACGTGGAGTTTTGGGGACAACTGTTGAGCAAGCTTGGTTCAGGCTATTTGGGAAACAACGTATGAGAATTACACAAATTTGTATAAGTTGAAAAATTAATTTTTTTTCGCATTTAATTATAATTGATCCATTGTTCTGTATTTTTAGCATCTTGATGCATGGACCATCTATCTTCTCCGACAGAGGCAACCAACAGACCGTTGGACCATCATGCCACCTTATTGGATACCAAATTTAGCCACCGAAGGGCTTGGGCCTAGGTCACAGAAGGTGTAGGGCGATGGTACACGTGAGCCATTTCCGTCATGGCGAGACGTCGACCGGGTCGGTAGAATACGGCTTCAATTATTTTTCGTACATAAGATATTTTATTTATCAATTGTTATTCACAACTTATTTTTTCAGGTATTCATCCCAATTAACATACCGAATGCTCATTGGGTGACCGGGGAGCTCGAACTGAGGTCATGACGTTTGATCATATACGATACTTGTCCGCCGCATATGTTCAAGAAAGATATCATTAGAATCATCCACACGCTGAAGTAGTCCCTCCTCGAATTCGTATTAGAAATAGAATATTATGTAAGGGTCGTGGACCAACTTAACATACCGAATGTTAAAGTATTTTTTTCAGACGACACACCACGACAGACGGGACCGCTCGGCGATTGTGGGGTTTTCTACTGCATGTTTGTTGAGCAGTTGTCGCAAGGACTAGAGGTCAATTGTGATACGCCTACCGACGTTCAGGCGATAATGTTTCGTCAACGTATGGCATCGATATTGTATTCAACGCGTTTTGCTTAATCCCAAATAATAAATTTATTTCTTGTAAATGACATTGTTTATGAAATGGTCTTCGATAATAAGAAAGCGTAAATGACAATTATCCTACAATCGCTTTGATGAACAACACCATCGCAATCACAAAAAAAAGAAATCCAAATGACAATTATCCTACAATCGCCTTGATAAACAACACCATCGCAATCACAAAAAAAGAAATCCAACTTATCGCCAACATCGTCCTTAACCGGCAAAGTTGTAAAACAGCTTCAAAAAGCGATGCTTCAAGATTATTTTTCGACCTTAAAAACCCTGGAATAATTAGCACGGATCGTGGACACATGGGTGGATCAAGCCAATTAATAAATATACAGTTTCGTCACTACAAAAAAATAAGGAATCCAGATTTATATATATTAAAAAAACTAACAGTTGCAAATATACGAAGGTCATATATATGCGAAAACTCACAGGTAATGAACAACAAAAGAATCGACGGCCTGGGTTGTGGTCGGCCCATGACGTTCTGATGATTGCATCTGCGCCACAGTTGCAATGCCTCACCATTTTATTTTCTTCTGAGTTGAGAGGCAGTGAACAAATGATGGTGGAGTGGGTTTGTAATAGAAAACAAGGTTATTTATAGGGAAAACATAAGAGGACTTGTCACATCATCATCATTTCAGTACAATACATTTTTAAAGATCGAACCAGTAACTTTGACAACAATAAGTTTTTTACCCGATAATACTAAATTTTGTCATGCGGATAGAGTTCCTTAATTCTTTCTATTGCTTTCGTATTTTTTTCAATGTCCTCTTCATTCCACCTAATGTGTCTTCCAGTCTCCCCGCATGCAAGCTCGAACCATGCCTCGTGGTTCAGGTTTTCCGCCTCTTTGATTTTCTTTCGTGTATCAGCAATCCAACACTGTTGTTGCTTAATCTGTTGTTTTGCATCAGCAATCCATATCGTCCGCTCATTCATCTCATGTTCAATCTTCTTCTTTTTTTAACCAAGGTCCAAACATTTTTGCTGTAATATATCTAATTTAAGTTTGTAGTCCTTGATAGCCTCTCTCAAATCATCGAGCATTTTTTCAGGTAGTTGACTTCTCTACCATTCTTCTCCAAGCCTCTCTTACTCCTCATTCATTGTTGGAACTTTAAAATTACAACTGGACGAGCTTCCGTCCATTGTTATAATAAAACAGGAAAACGTAGCCAATAATATGTCCTCTAGCAACATCCCATTTTATAGGAACATTTGACACCAACAAAGAAGCTTATATTTTTTTTTTGCAAAATAATGTCAAAAATAAATAAAAAATTGGATCGCACCTTAGGGTAGAGTCACCAAAGTTAAGGCAAAAGGGGGCGATAGTACATTGGTAGGGTTATGGGTCAGGATTTCAGGACGAATCTTGTAAGCTTTATGTCAGCGACGATTTAACAATTCATAGACGATTTAACAACTCATAGCTTTATGGCAGGTTCATGACTGAAATTTGTAAAAAAAATTCACTTTATGCATTTTGTAAGCATTTTTGAACTTTCTCAGAGACCAATCCAGATTCTAAATTATAAATCAAAGTTGTAGGTTGGTAGCACACGAGTATATTAATTTTGGAATCGTCTCATTTGGTTCATCCATCTATTTTATATGAATTTTAGAAAACTGCATATTAATAAGGAAAAGTGTGCAAACAGCCTAAAAAACTGACCGGGTCCAACCACTTCGAGCCATAATTGGATTTTCGACCGTTCATGAAAGTTGTAGTATACAGTAAGATTTTTATAACTGCAAAATACGGGCTTATTCCGACTTACAGTTTGTGACTTATACACTGTCAAATTACGGGGGTTGCATTGTCGATAAAATACAATGTTAGCATTACCGACTAAATTTTAAATTGGTATTCCATGATTCGTTAAATTTACATGATATAAACATACTTCAACATATTAAACACTAAAACAAGTCCATAATTGAAAAAAAAAATTGGATCGCCCTGAGGGTAGATTCAAAAAAATCGAGGCAAAGAGTGGGGGTGATAGTACATTGGTAGGGTTATAGGTCAGGCTTTTCCAGTACGAATCTTGTAAGCTTTATTGACGAATCTTGTAAGCTTTATTGATGAATCTTGTAAGTTATATTGACGAATCTTGACAGGGACGATTTAACAAATCATGCCAGGTTCATGACCGGATTTGACCACACCATGCCAGCTATTAACTCGTAGGTTGTGACAGTGCATTGGTAGGTTCATGGGTCAGGGTGCCAGGACGAATCTTGTAAGCTTTATGTCATGGATGATTTAACAAGTCATGCACGTTCATGACCGGATTTGACCACACCATGCTAACTACTAGGATGCCTTGTGAATCATATATCACAACTTTTTTAAATCGTAAGGCCCGATAGTGTATAAAAAGGATGCCTTGTGAAATCATATATCACAACTTCATATCAAATCATACAAGTACTTGTCCACTTATTTAAAGAAATGGCTGGAAACTCATCATCTTCTCAAACAATGCCTACAAGGATGAAGGCTTCGATTGAAAAAGCCGAAGCGGAGATTAAGAAGATCACTGATGACTGGTGGGCTAACAGGGAGAAACAAAACAAACACGAATAATCTATTGAAGAGAAGAAAAAAGCTATCAAGCAATTGCAAAAGGAGATTCGAGCGGAGGAAAAAATTATGAAGGACATCGTGAATGGGTACCTAGTGATGCAAGAAATGATCAATGAAAAACAGTACTGGATTGAGTCTTGCAAACAATATTACCCAGAAGGAAACTAACATGAATGTTATGTATTAATGTTTTTGTTGTCGTTGTTTTTCAGTTTAATGTTATGTCTGAATGGTGTTGTTTCAATTGATTCGTCAATGTATTGATGGTTAATGTTCATGCATCTCTAAATCAAACTTCCATTTCCCATTAAAACAACAAAAGTACACTTAAAAATCGTACATTTACTTACTTAAATTGTAAGTATCAAATACATAGTCTTGTGTAGTATCAGGTTTAGACGGACCACAATCGCTTGGCCGACTAACTGATCTTCGACGACTACTTGAACTTCCGTGCGTCGGCCTAGCAGTTGGTATCAGGCTCGGACAGTTATATCGAAAATGTCCACTCTGGCCGCATTGATTGCAAGTTTTCACTATTGGTTCCTCATCTTGTGACGGGATACGATCGCGGTTGTGTGGCCTGCCTGAGTTTTGTATGTCCAAGGGAGGCGGTAGGACGGTCAAACGTTCGTTGGGAAACACATATTCAGCTTCTGGTGGAAGGGGAATGACTTCCTCCTCGTATGTTGCACCGTAAGAGTCGGAATTGAACCAAACATAACAGAATTGACTACAGTCTTGAATATCTAAACTTCGAGCAACAGAAATCACATGACCACAAGCTATTCCAGAAAGTTGCCATTGCATGCATGTACAGGTCTTAGCATGCAAATCACACGTTCCTTTCTTATAGCGGTCGTCAACTTCAAACAACAAATCGCTGATGGGATATACCTTCTAATTTGCGCTCCTATGTATTCTCTTCTCTAATTTGGCCTCCGCTTAAGGAGTCACTACATTGATCATTTACGCTGCAGACGTATGAAATACCATTGTTGAAATACCATAGTCAAAGGATGGTTGAATTTACCTCCGTTATGCCGACGTATGAAATACCATTGTTGCAATGTCGCCCGATAAAATTCAACTAACATTGTTATCGGAAGATAGCGTGCAAACCGCGATACTGAGTTGACGGACTCAGCACTATTGGACGTCATTGCACTATAACGTAATCCAGSGAAGTGCGATCGTGCCCATCTAGCGTAGCCAACTTCCTCAAGATATTAAGCGGCTCTAGGTAGACTGTACCGCATCAAATCCATAGTAGCTTCAAAGTCTGACAACCGGTAAGCTTTGCATGCCTCCCAGAACATCCACTGTTTCCTTTTCTCTTTAGTGGAGTTTAGGCGGAGGTTCTGGCTCAGATGCCTACAACAAAGTCCATGGTGCGCAAAAGGAAATATAGTTCGTATGGCCAGGTCGATAGAGGCAGCCCTATCGGTGACGAATGTTAAATTGGGCACATCACCAATACACTGCCTAAGCTTACGTAAAAACCATGTCCATGACGGGCAACTTTCTGTCTTCCCCACTCCCATTGCAATAGGTACGATACCATTGTTTCCATCCATGTCGACCGCTAAGAACATGGTGCCAACATACGGCCCCTTCAGATGGGCACCGTCCATTATAAGAAGTGGTCTCATGTGTCCTAGAAACGATCGAATCTGCAGATGAACGAGATTAAAAATGTAATTTCAGAACATAAAATTATGCCAATAATTATAAAATATGACAAAATTATTACCGAACAATCGAGTGCGACAAACAACATGTCGAATCGTCCAAGTGGATCAAGAGCGATCTTTATCACAGTCCCCGGATTTGCTAGCTTCAGATTGTGACAATAAACCGGGAGTAGGTTAAACGACGATTCTGGGGTTCCCCTCAACAGTTGCAAGGCATACATCTTTGCTCGCCATGCTTGGTAGTAGGAGATGCTAATATTGAACCGTTGGTTCACATCTTCCATGATTTATTTACCATGGTACACTCTTCTACAATCCTTTAGACTGCCTGCCAGTATATGACCCAAAACTTTTTTATTTGCATTACGGTGGTTTGGGTGCACTTGGGACCTTGAACATGTGTGTTCATCGTAGAGTTCTGTACCTGAAAAATACTGGTACCATCGATGGAAACAACCATCAAATACCAATCATAGTCCGAATCTGAATGACACACCACCTCGTACCGGTGTTTGGAAGATTTTTTTACTTTCATCTGAAAGTTTTCATGAATGCACTTTAATCCCACTACGTGCTTAAGTGCTTCCTTCGAGTCAAAGATTTGTAGAACTTTGACATGGGATGTAGGCTGGTAGAAAATGTTTTCCTGTCTACTTTTGATAACTGGGTCCGGACAAGGTGGTGGGTCGGGCATACCCCAAAATCTATTCCTTACCGGCTTGATATCTTCAGAATCGGAGTTATCGTCGTCTTCGGGTATGTTCAAAATTTCGGCAGCAACAGAAACATCTTCTACCATATCTACCACCCACAACGGTTTTGACAGTTCGGGAGACCGGATCGGGTACGGGTTGGGAGACTGTATCGGAGGCATGTTCAAGTCTTGAACAAAATAACTGTCAGGTTCAACGGTAACTTTTTGTTCAAGATATGAATTTCTCGCGCCATCGTAAGGGAAGAAGGTGCTTCGATTTTCACCACTTCCACCACTAGGGAAGAAAGTGCTCTGATTTACACCAGGAGCACAACCGGTAGGGAAGAGTGTGCTTGGACCATATGGGTTTGCACCGCTAATGTCGGGGAAGAGTGTGCTCACAGCACCGAGGTAAAAAGTGTTTGGACCGCCCGAGTTTGCACTTGAT